TAGTGGAGGTGGATCTATTCGATTGCGGCAATTGCCTTGAGGGGTCTTCGATTTCTGCGGTGGCGGCAACACCTTCTCTCTAGCGCCAAGGGTTCTTCCATGGCTACAACGGTGCAGATCTCAACGGTTTCTTATTACTCGGGAATCGTAAGCCACAAGTTCTTCAAGACAAAGTTTACTTCTTCGCCGTCATCTTTTTCTTCTTTGTTCATATGTAAATCAGTCACTATTTGGACTGTCTTCATCAAGATTTGAAGGTCGGTGTTTAAGCCTCTCTGTTTTAGTGACACTATAGCCAATGGTGTTGTCACTACGGTTGGTTCACTTGTATCCGATTGTTGGTAACTACGGACATAGGTGTAGCTGTGGAGTCACTATATGACAGGAGAAGTAAAGTCACTAAAACATTGAGATACAGTGACACAGAGGATATGCGTCCAGCGGTAAGGTCACTGGTGGCGCAAAAGGCTATAGAATCACAGCGCACATAGGGATGTGAGTCACTAAACCCCGGATATCGAAGTGAGTCACTGAACCCCAGAGATCGAAATGAGTCACTGAACCCCGGAGATCGAAATGAGTCACCGAGCACTAGGGTAACGTGATTACTAAAGCTTCAGTGACTACAATCAGTGACTAAGAAAATGATGGTGGTAACTTTTGGCGACGTTCACCGATGAGATTGTGATCTTGTAGAGTTGTAGTGACTGATTTATAAATTTAATGCAGTGACTAATTTAATTGCCGTAGAATGATAAAAACAATTCACTAGTGACTACACATTCAACACCCTCGTACTACTCGTAATACACCGACAATCAGGCCGGCGGAGATGAAAAAAATTCATTGTTGATCGCACTGCAATAATTTCAATTTCCATTCTTTTGCAGATTCACGATTAAGAACAAAAAGATATTATTTTTTCATCTCAAATCCAACATTAGTGACACTAAAACATTCTTCCATTCCCTATATGGTTATCACTTATCAGTAACTTTGTCCTTCTCTCACCTTGTAACTGGACCTTCTTCCCCTTCCTCAAATATCTTTTCTGTGAGTCGCCATATGTTTTGGTATCTAGTGAATGAAAACAAGGCTTCAAAATAACGGAAATGCTCCTTATTTCTATCTTTCAGTTACACTGCATTAATGATCCCATTTTTCCGCATGGAGATGGTTGTTAACATATATCGTAGCATGGCAGTTTTCATGTTTTAAATGCACGTGGATAGAATAGTGGTCATATTATTGGGAAAAAAGGTTTTTAGGCACTTTTTTGTCTTGTAGTCTCCATTTAGTAATATTGATAAAAAAAGGCCTTGAAATTTTAGTCTTGTTTTATGTGATTGAGCATGTTTGGATCTATGGGAATATGTATGGCTGTGTCAAACTCATTACACGGTTAGCGATTCGTGTAGCTCTTTCAGGGGTGATTGTTTCTAAAGCTCATCATAGGGTTTACAGTCGTAGTTGTTGGAGTCTAATTGGTGTCAGTTTTGTTTTTCCCGTGATTGATGTAATGATCCTGAAACTTTTGATATGAATAGAGGCTAGTCTTTGTTCCAAAAAAAAAAGGTCATCCAATAAAAAAATCACTAAACTTCATAAGGTGGGTCGTATTTAGAGTATTGGAAAAAATAAATCAAGCATTCTAGCTCAACTGGTTGTGAGGTTATCATGCCTAGTGAGTGGTCTCGAGTTCGAAACCCGCTAGACACATAAGGATTCGAAACTCAATGTAGTAAGTTTCAACCCTGATTACTCCAAGCCCCCCAGACCCCTCTGGAGTACTTACAAAAAAAAAAGTTAAATGTTAGAGTAGGAAAAAATATTGTAAAAAGGTTCTCTCTAGATTCTCCATACACTTCTTCTTGAGAGATATGATATTGTACAGGCTGTATAGATGATTATGATAGAGTCTACAGTCAATAATATTCTTATTCTTATTATTATATATACAAATCCTGATTAAAGCCATTAACACTTCATATTTTGAATTAATAAAGCAACCACAAATAAAATTAAAAATTGACTTCGTTGTTACATGTTTACGAACGAATGACTGACCATATCAGTTCTCTAATTTAATCAAAAAATGTTTTTTAAGGGAATAAAGTTAATTAGCAGTAATCAAATTGAAAGCTAACTTGTCTATGAAATAAGATCGGGAATCGTGACAATCAGACAAGAAGGGAGTGTTTGCAATTGCTTCAACTTTAAAGAAGTGATTTTTTAAAGTGATTTTGGGAAAAGTGATTAGTAGTAAAAGTTGGTAGTGTTTGAGGAAAAAGTGATTCTGAAAAAGTAAAAGTTGGTAGTGTTTGGTAAAAGAAGTACTTTTTGTATGATAGAAAAAGTGAAAAGCAGTTTAAAGCACCCTTCCACCTGCTTCCAGCTTTTAGCTTTTAAGTGATTAATTTAAGCAGAAGCTGTCGTTTGAAAACACTCTTTTTAACTTTTTTTAAGCCAAAAGCTGAAAAGCACTTTTTTAATCAAATGCAAACACTCCCGAAACAAGTTACTCTGCCAACTGGTGAGTACCTTTATTTGTTGATCGAAAAGAACAAACTATATACGGAGTACATTTAATTACGGAGTACGGAGTACTCCCTCTGTAACATTCATATCTTCTCACTTTCCTTTTTTGGATGTAACATTTATATCTTCCTATTTCTAAATCTTCCCATCATACCCTCAATAATTTAAAAAATAATACACTATTACACCTACTTTTTTTGGATTTATCCTTCATTCCATCACATTATTTCACTATCTTCCCATCATACCCTCAATAATTTATATCCTCTTTCACTATTCTTAATCTCACCCACTTTGGAAGTGGGAAGATATATTTGATACGGAGGGAGTATATTATAAACATTTTTTTATTTTTCTCAATCATAAAAATGTTTTTAATAATGTACTCCGTCTAAAATTCACTGAACTTGATGGGTCCCATGCTAATTGGCCCACTTGGGCCCCATCTACGCTAATATGTATGTCTAAGTGTGTCTTTAAAGGTTTAATTACCATCTCTTATAATTTCGATTTTGGGCGCTTTAATTTATTTATATTTTTTTCTTAGTGATCTCTAAGGAGTTACCCTTCTCACTGCACTTGCCAAACTCCAGTAATCAAAATGATGGCTAATGGAAAAGCGAATGGATATGGAGCTTTCAAGTTTCTTCTAACTTCATATTTGTTCAGTATGATTTTGTCAATCAATTGGCCATTTGTTTGCAGTGCTTCTCAACAAGGTAATTTACAGAATCACCCTTAATGTTTTCTCTTACGATATGATCATCTCCGTTTACTGATGAAGCATTGAAATATATTATAGGCCCATTCTCATTTATATAAATTTGGTAGTAGTGGGCCTAGGGGCTGCCCAACGTGATCACGTACCAGACGAGTTTAATTTCATTCTGAATTTCTAGTCTACTTTTTAAAACTGTTTTTAGTACTTCAGAAGCAGAAACAGATATGAGAGTATTTAGATAAAAATGGAGAAGTGTTTCTAGGTGCTTCAAATTGCTCTTGGAAACAGTTTTTAGAAGCCAGGGGAATCAGTTTCTGAAAAACTATATCTGATTATTCTTCAGAATCAATTTCAAACACCCTCATAGTTCTTAATTGCCCAAATTCTTAATTTGGAAACTTTTTCAAATTAAGAGTGAAAATAATGTAATATTTTAAAATAGAATCACTGTGTTTTCTTTCTCTAAATGGGGTAAATTACTCGGCCATATTTATAGGGAAAATGTAAAGCTTTCATTTTGGAGTGTTACATTAATTGTTATCATGTAACACCCAATTTCAATTTGGTAGAATATTGAGATCTGTTTATGGTGCTCATTGTAGTAGTGCTAAAGAATTTGCATAGAATTAATGAAATTGTTCATAATTAACAATCAAATAACAAAAAGGAACTAAACAGGAAAGTGAGTTTAAGCAAAGCTCTTTGATCACAGTAGAAGAAGTTAAGCTAAAGCAAATTGGAAGAAGATAAAGAACATTCTTAAAATGAAGAGAAATTAGTAGCATGAAGACGAGGAAAAATTGGTTGAACAAACCTTAGAGGATCGTGTGAAATTGGGAATGTGTTCTTTTCGAAATATGGGCATAAAGTGGATGAAGCTTTAATTTGGTGCTTTTGATTGAGGCAATTTTAAGAACTAAAACGATCGAGTAGTTGAAAATAATCTTCAAAATTACGTATATATCATCGGTTTCATTCTTCTAGCTTTGATTTTTACAAAGTTTAAGAAAATTAATTGTTTCTTTGACATCCACAAATGAGTTTTTATCATTTTATGTAGTACTGGAGATGATTGATAGAATCCACAAATGCGTTTTTATGTTTTGGATTATTTGTGCGACAACTTATTTGGCACACAAAAAAATTTGTCAAAGCATAAAGCAGTTCTTTTAACGAAATGAAAATAAATTGTCTATGGACAGATAATTCGGCCGATATGTAAAATGACATATACATAAAACGTGTACAAACACCATATATGGTGATTGAATTTTTAAATATAAAACATGGTGTCTTGATTGTAAATATGGTTTGTTTGTTATAACTCATCTCATTTCAAGGTTTGTGTAGCCCTGTCATTGAATTGGGTCTGGGCCTGAACATAGCGTTATAGACCCAGAATCCTAATCTTATTTATGGTTTCAAACTCGGATCATGTATCTGATGGGTCTAAAACAAATTGTTCAAGGTCGACCCAGACCCCATCGAATGAGATAATCTGTCCAATATAAAATCAACAATATTACAAATTTTATAAAAATTATAAACCTATAATTGAATTGATTATGCATCAAGTACGCCCAATTCAGGATCAAGGTTACTTCTTTGAGATGACATGTTTTAAGTCTGATTCAAAAGCAGATGATAGACATGGGGCTCTTTGTCTGGTTGTATACTGCTTCATTCTTTCTTATTAATATACGCTACCTCCTTCCCAAAAAACAATTTTTCAATTGAGTAATTTCTATTTTTAATTAATACGTGGTATATGGATCATGACGTCATTGCAGGCATGGCGAGACTGAATGTGATCCACAGATTAGGACAAGGATACGGCAAGGTGGACCGGTCAACGATGATGAGTATGCTTCTTCGGTCCCAAAAGGCACGACTCGACGCCTCCGGCGACCGCCGTCTTGCGAATGTCAGCAGCACCTTCGGAACCCACACCGTGCAGGTTAAACTGGGGAGCAAGAAAACTAACCTGAGCCTTGTCCTCGACACCGGCAGCCACCTCACGTGGACTCAATGCCAGCCGTGCACGGAGGAGGATGATGGTCTAAGTCAATGCTTCAACCAGTCGGGACCCATATATGATCCTTCCAAGTCAACGAAATACTCCGACGTCCTATTTAACTCGTCAGCCTGCTCCGACGTCTACCAAGCCACGGGCCTAACGGCGTCCGCCGTAAGCTCCACCAACGACACCCTGATTTGCGGCTACAACGTGTATTATGCAGAAGACGATGACTCACGGTCTACCGGCAATCTGGGGGTTGACCAGCTGAAATTCCTAGCTTCGGAGGAGGAGGAGGACGGCGGTGCTTTCAACCTCACTTTCGGGTGCGGCCATAATAACAACATTTCCGGCCGCCTGGACGCGGCGGGCGTGATGGGGTTAGGGCAGTCAAACCTCTCCATCGTTTCCCAAATGTCCAAGGAAGTCGGGAAATGTTTCTCGTACTGCCTCCCGACGGAAAACGGGACCGGCGGCTATGCAGCATTCGGCTGCCGCCGGCCAAAGACTCCGGCGGGTCAACACCTCCGCTACACGAACTTGACGGAACCGCCGCCGGGCGTGGACGTCAATAGTTATGTTTCCGGTTTATACTACGTTGATCTGACGAACATAAGTGTGAACGGAAAGGCGCTGGAAATGAACTGCACGGCCGGATTCCGGCACGCCGTCGGAATGTTCGTAGACTCCGCCTTCCCCATATCCGTCCTCCCCCCGGCAGTGTACGCAGCTCTGAACAAATCATTCTCCGACCACATGAAAGATTATCGGAGAGCGCCCGGAGACCAGAGTGGGATTCTTGACAACTGCTACAACTTCACAAACCGCCCTAACCCGACCATACCCAACATAAGCTTCACGTTTGGCGGTGGTATGGAGGTTGTTTTGCACCGCAGCGCCGTCATGGTGCCGGTCAGTGCTGACCGGACTTCCAAAGTGTGTTTGGGTTTTGGCGCGAATAAGAATGACATGTACAATGTGACGGGAGTTTTTGGAAACTTGCAGCAACAGACTTTGGAGATGTTTTACGATCTTGAGGGAGGGACACTGGGATTTAGCCAGGACTCTTGTACTTAACCGAGGTTAGCCTATGGATTGAATTGCATGCATGAATGCAACTTTGATTCTATGTCTATCTACTTTTGTTTAAACAATTTTTTCTTTAATTTATTAGGGTATTACTCCATTCTCGATAATGTAATAAAACTTATTAATTATTACTCCGTATGTAGCCTACATGCACACATACATATATACAAATTAAAGAGTCTTTATTGTTCAAAATTTAATTTTGTATGATACATTTTTGTGTGATGTGTATTGCATTTTGGGAATATGCTTGGATGTTGTGTGTATATTACATTTTCATGTTCAAAGTGTTACATATTATTTTGTAATGAAATAAATGTTTGTATATTAATGTTCGAAGCGTTGCATTCGGAAAAGTTTGGTTTATTTACCAAAATGTCATCGTGCATTTTCATTAATTCCGGTTATATATAAAAACCACATTGGATTTCAATACTTTATTTAACTAATTTTTTTATTGAATTTTGGGCTGAAATTATGTTGATATAATTTGCATCTCATTAAGAACATGCACAAAAAAATCAACACAAATTTTGACCCAGAAGACCCTCAAACGGGCTTGGATGTATGGGACATCTAGTGAGGCACACCGGAGCAGACCATCTCTCTCTACACACACACACATTTGATTTTTATTTTCATTTCAAGTGAGGCTAAACTTTAGAAATTTTGGTGTTGTATATCGGGGATATTTAACCATTGACTTTATCTTTTTCACGATTCTATATTTGGGGTGTATAATTCGTTTTCACCATTTATTAATATATATATATATATATATATATATATATATATATATAGGGAATGGTTCAGGTGAGAACACTCTCCTAGGAGAGAAATGAGAACGAAATCTAACCAACCATGTTATAAATCGCACGGCTTATAACAAAGATTAAATGGAATGTCAAGATCGGCTATAACACACACGGTCGGAGGGAAAATAGGAAATGATGTATACGTTTAATAACTAAAGGGCATTTTTGTACAAGACTCAAAGTCGTGGATGGAAAGCACGATTACTTTATGGAAACATGTCATGCTTGTTTCCTAAATCCTAATGATTAGGGAAACTAATTCCTTTACGTGATACCCAAAATACGTACTTTTTTCAATTTGGTTATTGAAATCATTTTTTTAAATCAATTTTTATTTCTTTGTATTAATCATGTCTTCCTTCTAAGCTAAATACTTTACACTCTGCACAAAAAGGTTTGCATTAAAATTTTGTAACTATGCACTTTTATTCAAAACACTTTGCACAAGTTATATCACATAATTTACACTCAAGTACAAAATAGTCGCACTTTTATTCAAAATTTTATGTAACATCATTTTAATTAAATATTTGAATTTTCGAAAATAGTAATTTAAATCAACATCAATCATCAATAAAACAAATGTGAAGAGAAATATCATTTTATCACATTAATATGAACTTTTGTAAACTGCACATCTATGTCAATTATTTTGCACTTTCTAAACATTATACTGCACTTTAGCATACAGGTATGCAATTCCATACACGTACGAATTAGATGAAACTGAAATGTGCATTATGTGAAATTGAAATGTGCAACACAAAGGGTAAGATATAATAATGACATTACGTGAAGTTGAATTTTGCTTTAGGTGAAATTGAAATGTGCATTAGATGAAACCGAAATGTGCAGAATAAATGGTACGATGTGATGTCATTTTTGTACCTTTTATTCTGCACATTTCAATTTCACCTAATGCACATTTGAGTTTAACCTTTTATTCTGCGCATTTCAATTTCGCTTAATGCACATTTGAGTTTAACCTTTTATTCTACACATTTCAAATTCACCTAATGCACATTTGAGTTTAACCTTTTATCTGCACATTTCAATTTCATCTAATGCACGTTTCAGTTTTACCAAACGCATAATTATGTTTCATATAATACAATCCAACGGTCCATATTCATTCTCGATTCTCTACCCTGACTATTTTTAAGTTATTAATGTATTAATAATTTTCTTTTTTTAAATATTGTTAAATTTATCTCATTGCAAATTTTCCAAATCTGCTTTTTTTTTAATTAATTTTTTACTAATAGAGAACTATATATATTAATGGTCAAAGTTGTGTATCAACAATGTGAAAAGTGGACCATTTCACTTATTTAAGATCGAATGAAGCATATCAAAGGTGCACAATTACAATAATAAAATATTGACAAATTTAATTATGATAATTATTTGCAAAAAAAAAAATATTGAAAGTGCATGGTAAAGATATTTAAAAGTGCACAGATTGTTTACATTGATATACGGAGTAATATTTAAAATAAAATAAAGTTACACAATATGAAAAAAGGAATGCAGCCATGAAAGGAAGTAATTTTAAGTAGATCAAAATATGTACGTAATATAACGAAGTATTATAGTCATAAGGCAAATATAAATTTTAATACGTGAACGATAGAAATAAATAATTAAAAAGTCGTGTAGATAATTGAGTTTTTTTCCGTATTAATGTTAATTAATTAATTATTTACGGAAATAATGCTGGAAAAAAAGTATTTACCAAAATACTGCTGGCCCTAACCGTGGTCAGGGCAAAGTCGCCCAACGGTTGGGCGACTTATAAGTCGCCAAACCGTTTGGCGACTTATAAGTCGCCCAACCGTTGGGCGACTTTGCCCTGAAATATGTTAACAACCGAGCAGCTACTGCCAGCCAGGCACGATCGTGCCTAGAAAGGTAGGCACGATCGTGCCTATGTCCAAAAACATCATTTCATCAGGTTTTTCGCCCCGATTCAACCCAGACTCATCTGTTTGCTATAAATAAGGTCTCCCTTCTCCTGTTAAAGTATTACGAACTAGATACAACACATTATAATCACCTACTCTCAACAGCATAAAAAACACCTTATACACACCGCTAAAAAACTTTCAAATCATAACCGATATAACACAGTTCAATCATCATATATGCCATAACAAATAATCATATAATATTCATACTCGAACACATCAATACAACATAGAATACTTAACAAGAGAAAATACATCAAAACTTGTAAATTGTTCCTACAACATCTACTGCATAAGAAAAACTACAATACAAAAGACAAACTACAAGTTCCCATCATCAGCTTCGTCATGGAGATGTTGCTGCTCATGTCTACGCCTACGGCGTTGTCGTGGTTGAAGAACCACTCTCTCATGTTGCGTCTGGGATGATGAAGCCGCAGCTGCACTAGACGTGGATGCCATCTCCTGAGATGCGGGCATGTGTATAAGATGTCCGTAGTCTACTCGACCCAACACATCTGAGCATAACGAGGCAATGCCTGTCAGAGTCTGTCCATACATGTCCACATCAGGAATATCAGTCACAGTGGCAGTAGCCCGCTGATGTATGCGCTGCAAAGCTCGTGTCTGCAATACGAAACACAATTACAATTACATTGAAATACATACAAGTATTACATAAATAAAATGACTTACTTTACTAATTAGTAATATACTCACTGTAAGATGCAATGCCAATGAGCTAGGCTGATAATGATGAGTAGGGAGTCTGAACGAAGGAGACACAAACAACCGAGTGATGCTGTAGTACCATCCCATGTAATCTCCTGAAACTGATGGCACATATGTGGGTGTCCCAGCCACAGCTAGCTCAGCTCTCCTATCCCACATAGTCACGTATCGGACATGTCTGAGTGCCCAATCCTCTGTATGCTTCCCACGCCTATCCAGCCTATGCAGCTCTACATAAGTGTCGATAGGACGTGGAATGACCTGCTCAAACCCAAACTGTCGCATGACTCTATCAGGCAAATGAAGCTCAACAATGTCAAAACATATCAGCGGCACACGTGCTCGCCATATGTGAGTCTGCTCTCGGCCAGCTGGGGGCAACTCTGCTAACATATCAGGTCTATACGGCATCCATGTGATCTGTTTCGTAAACATACAAAATTAATATTTATTCTACACCTATTCTAGTTACTGTTATACTACACACACCATACCTGGTCCTCTGACATCCGATCCAATGCATCCCTATACACACCGAGGCCAGTAGCGGATGACATGCGAGATAAACCAGCATATAGCCACCTAACCATTAATGTTACAATATCAATAATATGGATTTTATTAATGCATTTACATTCAACAAAAAGTAACACAAATACAAATGATTTAAAACATACCGACGGCCTAGAGGGTCCACGCCCCGTACATGATGTGGTCCTAGCAGACGTGGAGGCTCATCAGGCAGTGGCTGTCCATCAATGCCATGATATCCAACTATAATGGGACGGCCAATGTGGATATACTCCCATGACCAAATCTGGAGGAGTAGCAAAAATCCACCCAGCTCTGTGCTCCCTCTCTGGCACCCGCGACCTTCATCCATCTCATTCTTAATACGGGTCGATTTTGGTCTTCCCTTTGCCCGAAGCATGGATGGATCGTGCACGATTTCGGGTCCATTGTAATTGGGCCAATAATCACGATCAGGAATCGGTTCCCTGTCCATCCACAAATGACGCACCGTTGTGCAAATACCTGCCATCCTCCTGTATAACCATGTCTAGTACAGGAACCTTTGACGACTTCCCTGCATTCACCCCTGCACTGACATCATGCCTAGATACACCAGCATTTGATGTCGATTGAGTAGCATTAGCGTCAAAGCATTCCTCAATGTATACCTCCAGCGACGACATATCCTCCATCTGAATTATGCCCCACATATTTGTTATAGCTAGCTCATCAATGAGCGGCATAAGCATGTACTTTCCCCCGTTCATGGGAAATTTCATTTTCAACCGCAATGAACGGCCGGGATGAATCATTGTCGCTGCATGTATTTTTTGAAGGATCTCGAGCATGCAAGCGCCACGAGAAACCATGACAAAGCTCGTTCTGCCACCTTCATGGCATATTTGCCCACCATTCTCATAATAGTTCCCTCCCCAATGACACACGAGTGGGAAGCTTGAGAAATCCATATTCTAATAACAACTCATTGTCAAACATTCATGAGTAGGCATCAATATACACACTTTATACACATTCACATTTTTAATAGAAATTGCTTCCAAAATTGTAATATATCATTAACTCCAAATTCACAAACAATTCACATTTCAATAACAAACTACCCAAATTTTGATATCTACATTCAATGTCTACCTTTGAATACCCAAATTTAGGTACATTCAACTCTACCCAAATGCCCAAATGTCAAAATACACACAACATTTTACAATTAATTTAAAATCAAATGTCAACATTTCATACATATCCACATTTCACAACAACTTCATTCACAATCAATTCATAATCCCAAAATTCAAAAATTTAACATTCTAAACCCTGGGTGCAAAATTAGATGAAATTGATTTGAATTTACCTAGAATAAGGAGTAAAGATTGTGTTGAAGATGAAGATGGAGGTTTTCCGGAGTGGGGAGGCTGGAGATGGAGCTTCGCCGGAGTTGGATAGGAGCTCGGTCGTCTTCTTCCTTCGTCTGCCGTAGGTGCTGCGCTAGAGGGAATTTGGGGCTGCAGTGCGAAGTGTTCTGTTTGGGGGAGGACCCCGTTTTTACTTAAAGGGAAAGTCGCCCAACCGTTGGGCGACTTATAAGTCGCCAAACCGTTTGGCGACTTATAAGTCGCCCAACCGTTGGGCGACTTACCCCTACCATGGTTAACCCAGCAGTATTTTGGTAAATACTTTTAACCCAACCCTGTTTTCGTAATTAATTAATTAATTAACATTAATTAGGAAAAAAACTCTAGATAATTATGTCCTACATAGTGGATAAAGAAGATAGTTAATGCACCGAAAAAATGGGAGAAGCAATCAGACGAGCAAAATAAGGAAGATTAGTGAAATGTCATATTAGTCCCTTAAGTGAAGCCGTAACGGTACTTAAACTTGACAAATCCAACGGTTATGGTGTATTCTCATTTCTCTCATTAGATGATATTCTTATTTGAACCAAACTCTCTCTCTCTCTCTCTCTATATATATATATATATATACATATATATCAAATATATTCTTGTCCGGCCACCTCATTTTGATGAACTTTTGTGAGCATGTTCCCCATCCAATGTAGATTATTTATTTTATATATGGTTTTCTATTTTATGTTTACTCATCATTGTCCTATGTACGGGTAATCTATGGACGAGCTTATTTAACACTTTCTATTTTTGTTGATCTAAATCAGATCAAGACTCGAGAAGATTCTTATTATGTTGGATATAGGCGTATGCGGACACCCTAGCCAAGTTGTGCAAGGATCTTGACAATACAAGACATCTATGAGGACAAGATCTCAAACACATGCGGAGATTTGAAGATTTCACTGAGGACTCGGAATTTGCTAGGGATATGATAGTGTATTTGTGTTGTTTTTTCTTTTTGTTTGTTGTTTGTCTTCTTTCACGTTTCCTTTTTTGTTTACCCCTTTTTCGTATTTTGAAATGCTTTTTAAATTAAAAAATGTATCAGTTTTTTTCAGTAGGGTAGATGGCTAGGAACATTTGCCAAAATTTTATTAAAATAAATAGATGAAATACAAAGAGGAGAGGGGACATAAACCAAGACCACTATGGCACTATCTAATTGTCTATATGCTTCAGTATATATAAACATATACTAAAATATTGGCAAAGGATGAATGAGAGTAGGAGCAAAAATCATGTATAAACATATACTAATATATAACACGAATGCCTGATATACTTCGAAATGAAAGTAATGTTAGCAGCAATGGGTATGAGTGTATGACGTGACAAAACAAAATCAACACAAACCGGTTGGAAGTTGGAGCTTTTCACCAATATTTATTTGATGATGATGGACATGGAAACGAGTTTTGCAGCATTCATTCATTCACAAAAGTAACCAATAACCCTCCTAAACAAATTGAGGAACTAATTAAGTGTACAAGTTCCCCCTTAATTGGTGCAACGGTGAAAGAGAAAATGGGCTGGGCTTAAAAAACATAGTTATGGACCACGAGTTGGGGCGAAGCAGAAACAACCACCAGCTTGGTCTTCTGGTATCATTCCTCCTCCTTTGCTTGTATCAATTGCCTCTAACAGCCTCACTACCTCGTCCATCTCTGGTCTCTTTTCGGGATTTACGTCCCAGCATTTCTTCATTATGCTTGATAATGAATTCGGGCAACACCTTGGAATTTCTGGCCTCAAATTCTGGGAAATTTTAAAAAAATGCAACATTATATGAGATGAAGCTATTGAAGTTTCAAATCTACATAAATCTAACAACATATAAGAGCCTTTAGTATGAGTCTCGATCTAAAAACCTAGAAAACAAAGTCAGGATGTGCATCTCTTATATGGCTGGTGATTTGTAGGTAAAGAAGCTACAGTATCAGATACTTCATTCACTAGAGGAAACTGAAGTGGTACTCGAGTAAAAGAGGAACCAACAGCTTCGATATCGCAACGTGGAAAGATACAAGAAACTATCTACTGTGAGGGCGTTTTGGTCTAAGCATCTGCATCTTTGTTCTCAATCCATCCAGGAAAAAACAATACCAAAGAATGGGTTGCTTTGTTTTCTCCACATATGGAAGGAAAAACTTTCCTTGTAAAAGCAATTTAGAGCATGAAACTTGCTTCTCCCAGTAATAAACTAGGAATGAATAATATACTCTCATCCGCCAAATGAGCTGGAAGGGAAGCGGAATATCCTGTCCGTGGTTGGACTACACAGTTATTATTCACAATATTATATCTCAAAAATGAGAAATCAATAATATAAAATGCCATAATCTTTAATTTTTATCTACTTTTTTAAAATTCTTTATCTACTTATATATACAGTTAAACTTAATGAGATCTGTTATCCCACTCTTTATGAATATTCAATAATAAGCATATAAAAGTAATTGTCTACTTATGTGGTAGCCTATGAGGGAGGGAGGACATTGTTTAGATATATCTTCGTTTTTTATATTGCAATCATATGACACAATAAAATATATTTGCATACTTGGTTTCCACCACCACTCTAGTATATCATTGTATTCAATTTACAGGGTGTTTTGTTGCAACCAAGAATATAGCAATTAACAGGTTTACCTGTCTAACAACAGCAGAAGAAACTTCGGCAAAGCTGAGGTCCGGATATGGCAGATCACAGCAGTAAATTTCCCACAGGCAGATTCCGAAGCTGTATACGTCACATTTTCGGTTATAAGGTTTCCCATCAAGAACCTAACACCAAGTAAAATTTATAACTTTACAACAGTTTGAGTAATATCATCAACAGAAAACAGTAAGCATAAGCCATATACACAATGTTAAGTGTCCACATTGACTTAGAAGTAGACCTTTTAGCCTCTTGAGTTCTACTAGCTAATCAACTGCATTTAACCTTTTAGTGTATGATCTGACCTAAGTGGTAATCCTTAGGCTAATAACATGTTTTATCCAAAAGAATGAATACCTCGGGGGCCATGTAGCCAAGAGTACCAGTTTCACCGGTCATGTCCTTAGGATTCTGTGCTTCAACCCGAGCCACGCCAAAATCAGCAATCTTCAAAGTTCTATTAGTATCTAGCAACATGTTTTCAGCCTTCACATCACGATGAACTATTTTTTTGGAGTGTAAATAGCTCAAACTGCAAAAAAAAGCCATGAAGGAAAATCAAGTCACGCCCACCAATCTATTAGATATAATTTTAATTAAAAGAATTACAAAGATCATAGTCTTACCCTCTCGAGAGATCCAAAGCAAGTTGGATTACAATCTTATATGCCAATTTCTTCTTCCGGTTTTTAAACAAAAGATTTTTCAAGGTTCCACCAGCGAGGAATTCGACGACAACACAACACGACCTCGATGGAAGGGTTGTGTAGCCCTCAGAAGGGTTTTTTGAAGGAATTTTGAGGTTTGAAGTTCCCATTGAAGCACCAACAAACTGCAAATAAGAATCATCACTTTTTTTATTATATTTCGTTTGACCCACCCCTAAAGATCTTTAAGAAGCCAGGTTTGTTTCACTTTTATTTACTAGACTAGACTAGAACCCTGGAGTCCTGGACACAAGAGATATGGTTACACAACACGCCCCTCATCCCAAGTCGGGCTCAACAACTCAAGTTGTCACAAGAAGGGCCAACATACGTAGACCCAAACCATTGAATGGGTGGGTATCTCATAAACCACCACCGGACTAGCAGACACGGCTCTAAAATCATGTTTCCAAAAGAATCAATTTTAGTACATAAATAAAACATTTATTAAGTGCATTTATTTTGCACACTAGAATAAAATCTTGTGTTACGATTTACGAACAATGGATATTGATTTTATTTGAAAATTTGAAAGTCATTAGTAATTTAAAGGTGTTGCTAGCCACAGCTCTTAGAAAATGGTTGTTCTTCATATTGAGATTTGCAATTATTTTTATTTTCTCCCTCTATCCCATAAAGAGCGTCGGCTGCGACGTATTTCAAAGTTCGTCCCAAATGAAGATGATTTTTCAAAAATGATACCAGTGACAGAGAAGCAAACGAAGACTTGTACACTAGACTCAAACTGAGTAGACATTACATATGTACAGTGAACTCACTAAACAATTATCAATATTTATAAGAGACTAAAAAGGTCTACTTCTAAAAGCATCAAGGAGGAGTGTGTGAAGAAAGTGCATACTTTTGTAACATTTGGATGGTCAAGCTTCTGCCAAACGGCAACCTCTTGTTGAAAAGATGCTCGCAATGTAGCAGTTTCAGCAGCTGTTGCCATGCCGTCCTCTCCCCAGTCCAACAATTTTACTACAAAAATAATAATGCAGTGAGCAACTCTAGCAGGTGATAACAGGGACTATATAAAACCAGAAGGACCACATAACAATAAAGAAACTGCATAATCACGAATACAAATGAAAATTTCAATATAATGTCTTGTCTTTTTACTGTGATAGTTTCTATAGTTACAGCAAGAAGTCATCCTTCCATTCCTAGGAATGAGCAAAACCCATGGTAACTGTGAGATATGCATAGCATGCCTATAATTGCTGGAATTGTTAACATCCTGGAATAAGAATTCCTCAAATTCCCCAGTAACAAAGGTAGGAATAAGAGCTAATTCTGTGAACGAGCTTCCAATCCAACAGGAAATTTTTAAAACAAAACAATACAATTTGTGCATTGTAAAGACCAGTAAGAAACTAAGGGTCCATTTTATTAAAGGTTATTTGGCTGAATTTGTTCTGGTTGAATCTCTTGAATTTCTTGAAAGTGTTAAAAGCTTTTGGTAACATAATTTTAGCCATATAAGTCAGTCACAATCTATTGAGTTTAATAGGCATAAGAAGCGGAACAATCCTGATAAGGCTACCGAATAGAACCTAAGATGAAATGACTACATAATGTTATCCAGGCTATACTAAAACAAAAGAAAACAGCACAAACGAGAACTAACATAGGGGGTTGGGGTTGGGGTTGGGGAATACCTGCAACATCTCGAGTATCATAACTACCCCGATAAACTGTACCATATGTCCCTTGAGCAATGAGATACCTTATCTCCAATTTGGAAGGATCAATCTCCCATTCTTCCTTAGGCCTCGGAGCTTGATTCTCCACATTTTT